ATATTTCAATTCAACGTCAGGCACCTTTCTGATAATAACATCTGTGGTGTTATCATGCCTGAGCACAAATTCTGACAATGTTGTTCCCTCTGTGATGGTAAGGTATAAATTGTCAAACACACAAAATCCTTCCTGATAACAGTTTACACAAAAATTTCGAGATAAACAATGTCTAAAAAGAAACGGCTAACTCCACACACTGTCAGCAATGTTAGCCCACTTATCGCAAATTTCTTCGTCTGGCAGCTGTCTGTGAACCGCTCCCTTATCTTTGCTGGCATGGTAAGGTATTCTTTAAATCAAATATCAACACATATGATTTATGAGGCAGTCACCTGATCCTTTTAGTAACCAGCCTAGGATGTGAGAAAGCCCTTTGGAATGTCAGTCACAATCAACAGCCATGGCCTGTTGCTACGGGTGTTAAGATGTTCAAGTTTACCTAAAGATAATGACTGAATAAAAATTTTCTGTATTATATTTCTACTATTTCCTGCCAGCCAATGACTATCCTGAAGATTATTGGAACAAAACATAACAAGATTGAAAGCCCCTGTATTATATAGTAAGTTGCCAATGGGCCACAATCTTTTGTGCAACATGGTTTCAAAGGCTGACAATGTCCTAACGGACCCATACATCGTTCTTGCAACCTGCTATATGCCAATAATGCAAGGGCACGGCCAGCAACACATGGAAATACGCACACAGAGTGATCCGGCTAAAAGTGATTACTTAGGAAACCAACCCATTTTAAATTGGCATTTACACTACCGCTTCTATGCCTTATGCGATGTTATGCTTATGTGGCACACAGATGTGTGCGTGCTTACTGATACAATAATCGTAAACTAAACCCAGGATTTAGGTTACAACGCGGTCCCTAGGCTTTTCTGTGGAGGAACCCCCGAAGTGAAATCACTCGGGGCGTCGTTTGCTGGTGCGGTTATCAAGAGACTAAGAATTCCAAACTGGGTTTATTCCTAAACGGGGAACTTTCTCCGCTATCATCGAACTTACTATGCTATCAAACTTATCTGCTCATTAAACTAATATAACGTGTTACAAAAATTCGAAGCGACGGCGCGATTCTTCCAGCCGCCCACTTTCTGTTGACCTGCTGACGTATGATTCCAATAGCGCATAGCGTTCAGCCATAATCATTGGATGCCTGCTGTTTATGACTGGTTACCCGGTCCCACTCTCGGCTTAGTTACTTGATGGGTAATCGAGGTGGGAGGGGTGGTAGAGGTATATATTACTGCAAAGCGTGCAACAGTCGCGCCGCGGAGCAATGGCTGCGGTAATGCAATGGTCATGGAAAGACTATCGGCCGATACATAGGTGAAAGAGAGTAATAGAAAACATTCAAGAATTTGGTGGGGCCTAGTAGTAGTAAATAAATTAGTAGTAGTACTAGTAGTAGGCTACAACTAATGTAACCAAACCAAGAGGATAGGGTTACAAATGTCCTATCCTGTTTTTCTGCGGAGATGCCCGGAGTGATCACTCGGGCCGCGTTTCGCTGGTGCGTTTTCAGATTACTAAGAACTTCCAAACTGGGTTTCATTCTCAACACGAACCTTTCTCCGCGGGGGGGTTATCTGGGGAAACTTACCTATGTATTCGCAAGTACTCTGTAATTAAAACTAAGTATTAACCTGCTGTACAAAAATTCGAACGTGACGAGCGGCCGAATATATAGCGCCATTCTGTTGACGCTTGACGTACTTCGTTTTTTGAAGTGGATTCACCCGACCAATCGGCTCAGGGCGCTTGCGTTTGAGCCGATCGCTATGCGCATTGGGGAAATGCGTACGTCACAGGTCAACAGAAATGGCGCCTCAGTATATTCCGCCGCTCGGTCGACTTGCGAATTTTTCTGTAACAGGTTATATTAGTTTAATACAGAGTATTGCGATACATTGTCAAGTTCCCGAATTAGCGGAGAAATGGTCGTGTTAGAATAAACCAGTTTGGAAGTTGCTAGTATCTGAAAACGCACCAGCAAGACCGGGCCGAGTGGATTCACTCGGGCATTCCTCGACAGAAAAGGATATGGGACACTTGTAACCCTATCCTCTTGGGTTTGGAGTTACATTATTGTATCTATACTAGTATTAGTAGTAGTTAGTAGTTAAACGAATTGTCGTATTTATTTTCGCAAGCATTACCTATTTATTGAAACGCTTCAAGTGCCTGTGGACGACATAACGCAACGCAACCCAACACGACACGACACAACAAAACACAGCATATCATAACATAACGTAACAACGCTTAACATACCACGCGGAATAATAATTTATACCACAATCATACGTAAAACAGGTTCAACGAAACCGCGATGTTAGTGTTGATCAAAGACCGTGTGAACGTTACCGCCCTCTCGCGAGATGAAAGGAAAGTTTTACAACGAAAGGTTTTTCATGCAGAGCTTATTCTCATTATCATTTTTCTTCGTCTGCTGCTGCTGCTTCGCTCTTCTTCTTCCTCTTCTTCTTCTTCTTCTTCTTCTTCTTCTTCTTCTTCTTCTTCTTCTTTTTCTTTTTCTTCTTCTTTTTTTTTTTTTCTTCTTCTTATTATTATTGTTATTATTATCACCATCATCGTTATTACTCTTATAATATTATCAGGAGTAGATAATAGAAGATTTCTAATATATATATCTTCTAATAGAAGATCTTCTATTATCTACTCCTGATATTATTATTATAAATTATAGGCTGTTTGGTACCAGATTCAAGATACGAGCCTCAAAAACAATTAATTGTAAATATATACCTCAATTTTAGTAGGAGTGAATAATAACAAATTTCTTTTCACAAACTTCTGCATGGCGTTAGATATCTGGGCTCCACGAGCCGACAATATATACATTTCGGTACAGGTCCCTATATGATGCCATGCATTCTGCAGAACACGTACAATGTGAACATGTGAAACATGTAATTTTAACGATATATAGTCGTCTGTTCGGCAGATAATTTCCATGCGTGAACTGAGATCTGCGCTAATGCTACATTAAGTCAGTTTTCCTGCATTGTGTTTTGTAGGAAAATATCTGGGTTCGCGTATGCACAATGGCTGTCTAAAAAAGCGCAGTTAACGTAAACGTAGGGTAACGTAACGTAGGTAGGGTAACGTAAACGTGACACGAGCAATATATATATATCTATACGCTATATTTGATATACGTGCAGTGAACGTTATTCATGTTATTCGTATATGATGAATAAAACCATCAATGTATAAAGACTCTCTATAAGGACTTGCGTTCATTTCACTCTGGGGTTTTTCTTGCTTCTGCATTACCGTCCTACCTTCACGGTAGGAGCGGAAAATGATCCCGACACAAATGAATTACACGTGCTAACCGCAGCACGTGTGAAAGTCCAGCGTGGCCACTCCTAGGGCCACTACACTAATACTATAGGTGTACTATAAGCAAATACTATCGGGTATGATAAGCTAATACTATAAGCTATGATAAGCTAGGGTTTGTGATACCCTAGAGATTTTGTGATAAACATTCATTATATAAATCCATTTACCAATATCCCTTCTCCGTTTTAAAGGAATAGAAATTAAAATTCATTTAAAACGGAGAAGGGATATTGGTAAATGGATTTATATAATGAATGTTTATCACAAAATCTCTAGGGTATCACAAACCCTAGCTTATCATAGCTTATAGTATTAGCTTATCATACCCGATAGTATTTGCAGTGGCGTAGCCAGCAATTGGAAACAGGGGGGCCAAGGCGAGGGAGCGAAGCGACCGAGGGGGTAGGGTGTGGGAGGGGTATCCCCCCTCCCACGGTAAGGAGATTTTTGAAAATTCGTGCATGAAAATGGCATTTTCTGCACACTAAAATTCAGTATTAGGTGTAACTTATATGAGAAGTGGCATATGGCAATCCCTTATAACCCCCCGCCCCCGCGGTAGGGAGATTTTTGAAAATTCGTGCATGAAAATGGCATTTTCTGCACACTAAAATTCAGTATTAGG